ATTTATTTATATGTGCGTTCCTCATTTGCATGTGTCTTTGAGTCTGTGTGTGTGTGTGTGTGTGTGTGTGTGTGTGTGTTCGTCAGTGTGAAGTCGGCATACATGCATGAATTAATGCACGTCGGCGTGTATACATTTCTGCATCAACTGGATCACTTGTATGACTGTGTAAGTGTGTGTGTGTGTGTGTGTGTGTGTGTGTGTGTGTGTGTGTGTGTGTGTGTCTGGGTGTGTGTGTCTGGGTGTCAGTCACACGGCGGGGCTAGGCTAATCAGCGCAGCTAGCTGTTCGCTGTGTGATGTTGGCTGATTAATATCCTGTTAGCGTCCCGTGGCTTTTAAGGCTAACTGCTGTTTCCTCTATACATCCATCGCCTCCAAACAGCCCTGCTTTCATCTGGCCTCATTAAGACGATGTACGACTATACTTAGCAACAACACACACACACACACACACACACACACACACACACACACACACACACACACACACACACACACTATGAACCAGTTGTTTTTTAAAAGCTTATTGTTGATTAGACAAAGCTTTGTCACATATCTGATCGTAACAAAAGTTAGTGAAGGAAAGTAAAGTGGGACTGTACATGAATAAACATCTTTAATTATTTACTGTAACTTTTATTCTCTCAGTCCCAGCTCACTTTGTAAATACACTTCACGCACGGTGTGTAAAGTATTTACTGGCTTTATTTTGCGTGTGGTAGATTCTCAAACAGTAACGACCGTCTCCAGTAAAACTCGAGTGTCCATATGTTGTTTGTTTTTTTTTACCGAAGACAGAACGATCATGTTATCTACTGCAGTTATTTCTAACGTTGCAGAGGATTCTCTGATTCACTCATGTAGAATTTATCAGCTGGACAAATATCAAATTCAGTTGCTTTTGGTTGTGACCATGAAACATGCATGACTACCTTTATTCAAGGGCTTTACGTTCTCATCCAGGAACTTCACTAACAACCCACAGAACGATATTGGCAGTGAAAATCCTGCAGTTCAATCTTTAAAGTTTTCTTGTGCACTGTTCTCGGTTTTCACTTCTGCAATTTGTTCATATGCAACTTAATTATCCCGACTCTAAAGTTCCCTGGACTTCAGGCTGAAGCTATTCCATGAACTTTGTGTTTTTATGATCCTGGAAGCAGATAAAACATCGAGCGTCGAGCTAAGCAACGCCGCTCCTCCTACCTTGAAGCTCTGCAGCTGCTCTGAGGCGTCTTTGTCTTGTCTGAGGCACGAGTTGAAGATGAGCAGCTCGGTGTCTCGCAGCCAAGCCTTCAGATCTTTAATGTGAGCCTCCAGCTGCTCCAGGAGAGAGTTAGTCAGCGGGGAGAGGGCCGAGCGAGGGTTGTCCACCGCGGCGCCGCGACCACCGGCCAGCAGAGCGTCAACGTTGGCCAGTGACTGGTTCTGCTGGGAGGGACTGGGGCCGGGATGGTCCGAGAGGATTTTCTGGAAAATGACAGGAGAGAGGGAGACAAAAAAACCCAGAGTTAGCGTGAGGACTCCTTGTTGTGTCGATATCCCATCATGCAAAGTAGCATATCAGTCAATACACACATGGCCATTAATCATTTCCCCTCAGAAATGTACAGATCGATGAAAGAGACGTCGTGTGTTCGTCCCTGACGTCTCTGTCTCTGCCGCTGCTGAAGACGTTGTTGAGTCAGACGTCTTTGTGGCTGAGGGAGAATTTGTTTCCTGTGACACTAAACTCATTTTTTCTGATTCTTAAATAATATGACAACAAATCTTTTCTTGTATCAAGGTGACGTCACTTTGTCGTATGATTTTATTTAGTTTCATGTTTGTTCATAGTTTCATTTGACCTGTATGTTTGTGTAACATACGTACGTCCTGTCGTCATCACCTGCATTTGACTCTGATTGGTTTGTAGCGTAGCGTTGGTCGGACTCTGTTTGGACTAAACACATCGATATCAAGGTGGTAACATGAAACCCATATGAACCGGGTTACAGAAATAATTAGTATTTATCCGCTGCTGTTATTGAGAATTAGCTCGATGTAGCTAATGCTGTTGTCACCACGGCGATGGGGCCTGTTGTTACCGTGTTAACGAGGTTGTTGTTGATGAACAAACCTTCGACAGGTGCAAAATAACATCAGCTGCTAATTCTGAGTTTGGAGCAGCTTCACCTGCGGAGCTGAAACCCACACCCGAGACAAAACAGCGTTTAAGACACAATAGAAAGAGAGTGTTTGGTGAGGAGCAATCACAGTTTCAAATAGGAACCACTGAGAACAACAAGGGCCTGACTCCAGGTGTGTGTGTGTGTGTGTGTGTGTCTGTGTGTGTGTAATAAGCTCTGCAGAGTAATTTTCCAACCCCTGTTGATTACACAGTAAGACACAGCGAGCAGCTGAGAGACACTATTCCCCACTTGGATTTAGACGAGTGTGTGTTTGTGTGTTTTTCTGAAAACTGCTCATCAATATAGAACAAACACACTTGTGATGCGACGGCGAGCTCGGAGGTGAGTCTCTGGTCAACGTTATCTCGCCCGAAACACGTCAGCTCTAACATTTTCCAAGCCGTTTTCAGACACGAGCTTCGGAGGAAGTCCGGGGGAATCGGGTCTGGACTCTCTGCGGAGTTTGTCTTTCACACGGGAGCAAGCCAGAGGGAGATTCTCCGCTCATTCACACCAGCGTGGAATCTCCGGAGTTCAGTGCAAGTCTGAAAGTAGCTTTAAAAAAACAAGATGCGATGCAAATGTGCAATGTTCTTTAAATTCTTACTCACTAGTTTTAGGATTTAGTGACTGAATGTGATGCGTCAGCAGTCTGAGTCAAATCAAGTGGGAACGTACCAAAGTTACTGCCTTTTAGAAAATACCGTCCGGGGGAAACACAAAGACGAGATTTCAATTTAGAAAGGATGTAAATTTATAAGAATATAACTAAGAGTGCTGAAGCGTGATGTTTGAGTGTTTGTTATTTCTGAAACAGCTTCATTCTTCATTTCTAAATAAATAAATATTATATATATATATATATATATATATATATATATCACGAGGGGGAATTCACACATCTGGGAAACAAATTTTTAACATCACATTGTTGTTGTGTGATGCAATTAAAAAACATCTTGTCACAGATGAAACACATTCCCTCTTCGCTCGTGAATGTCCGTCTTCCTCGTGCAGTGTTTGATTCCACCTCCTCTTTGTTTTTATCATCGTGGTGATTCTGAGATTAATTCTGAAACGGTGCTGTTACACTGAGCTTCTCCGCTCAACTGTCTAATTAATGCTTCGTTTGATAAAGTTTCCGTCTCACAAACACACTCGGAGCTCCGTCTCATTTTCTGGGTTCACATTGTTGTGTTTTCAACATTTTAAAGGATCAAATTGCTGTAATCTTGCTGCAACTTTAACAAGCGGCCACAACAAGAGACACTCTGAGCTTCTCCTGAACGAGCCCCGCATGGGTCCCTGTTGCTAATTTGCATATGTATGTGTTTGTACAAAAGGTATTGAGTCGTTGGTGAAGCAGCGACTCTCCCTCCTGAGTGGAAACGCTACTTTAGCTGAACTCTGGCAGGTAAAACCAAACCATTAGGCGATGAAGAGGGGCGATAATAGGACCCCCTGATCGGGGAAATGCGCCGTTAGCTTTGTTCTCCGAAGAGAGGAGGGTGATTACGAATCCGTGGTAAGTTTGGCAGAGAGAGAAACAGACGGAGAGAAGACAGCACCGTGCAGGAGAGTGGAAGTGAGCTATCGTCGGGGACGTCATTTAAAAGACATAAAGTGCGTTTTTCAAGACAAAAGCAACAAAAATATTTAGTTGAAAATATGATGTATTGTTTTCTCTGCGGGCGGTTGTTCACATCGCAAGATAACAAAGTCTGTGAGTTTCCCACGGAGCCGAGCAGCAGCACGCTCACCTGCACACTGATGGAATCCTTTCATACTTCGGAAACTTTGCTCATGTCGCACATGGAGGATTCGTTAGTGAGGTAGAGAACACGAGTTTATGTTTCCACACACTGACGTGACGGCTAACATTGTCTCGAAGCCTCAGTTTGACGTTTCCCAAGAAGTTTTTCATTTGGTTGAGGAGCAGGGGGGCGGAGCCTGACACGCCCACCGCCACCCGCCACCTGCACCCATTGGACGGTACTAGCTGTCAATCACACTGCATCCATACGACCGGGACCACGAATGTTGACTGACGTCACAAAGTGAGAAGTGAAATCATTTTCTCATAGACGTCTATAGAAACAACCAGTGGAGTCGCCCCCTGCTGGTCATGGAGTAAATACAGTTTAGTTTTTAAGGGAGTTCTGATGTGTGTGTGTGTGTGTGTGTGTGTGTGAGTGTGTGTACATGCCAGATTAATGCAAAACTCCTATTGGAGAAGACTGCAGTGTAAACAGCCTGACTCCTGACAAACTGTGTCAATACAAGATTTAATCAGCGTTATCGATCAGACACTCACTGGATCTTTCTTTTTTTTTGTTCCCCTCTGGAAAATTAAAACAACGTGACACATTTTCCATCCAGAGCGATCGGACGTGCTCCTCTGTCAGCGACTGAACCGTCAGCTGTGTTCATTAAACTCACAGTAACAGTGAGAGTCCGATGTCACCGCTGCAGTTCATCTCCGCAGCTTCAGAGTGAGTCCGTCTTCCGTCTGATCCGATCCGGAGGTCTGAGCAGATCACTGGAGCTAACGGCTAACGTGTAGCTTTCCACTCATTCGTTCTGGGAGAAGTAAAGTTTCTGCTCCGAAAACAACTTTGACAAATTAATAAATTATCTTTAAATCTGACAAATTTCAAGTTCTTGTTCGGAGCTTTCTTTGAAATAGAATCTCTGTCCACGCAGACGTTTTAGCTCCATGACATCGTCGAGTCTTGTGATAAGAACCAATCAGGAGGAGAACGTGGGCGTCCGGGTCATCGTTTCTAAAAGTCGTTGTTTTTAACCAACCTGAAGTTTCCCGACTAAAACACAATCAGTTTCCAAACGTCTCCATTTTAGGTGAGGAGGGAAACGATTATTGATTCTGTCGCAGTTTCTCTCTTTACCGATCTGAACTTTTTATCTAAATGAGGCTTCATTTGAATGAAATCAGCGTCGACACACTGTGAGAAGGTGAAACAGAACAAATGTGGAAACTGAGGGAGAAGATGTGAAAAAAAAGATCCAGTGGGAACGAGTGGAAATGAAAACGAGCAAATAATGGAGATAAAGAGAGGAGGAGAGCAAAGTGAAACAAAGAGAGGGAGGTGTTGTTTTTCCCTCTCTCCTCTTCCTCCTCCTCCTCCTCCTCCTCCTCTGCGCAGGTGATCAGAAAAATGAAACGCAGATGATTAAAAACAAATTTGATTTAACGACAGATAAGAAAAAACTAAATTTTAGGTGAGTTAAGGTTTCGATTGATTTTTATCAACTGAGGACAATCGATGATTTATTATTATTATTTTTAGTCTTTTCTTGGTAAAATTATAAGAAACTATGCTTTTCCTCATTGCTGATCAGGCCTTTATATATTTATATATAGGTATATATATATATATACATATATATCTGTAAATATATACACACTGTATTTATCCTTTTACCGTTTGACCTTGAACAACTGCACACAAGCTGCTGCCAAAATCCACAACAGGAAAGATGAAAGCTAATTTAGAGCCTTTTATTATTTCCTCCGTCGTTCGACGACAACGTGAACGTGTGTGTGTGCGTGTGTGTGTGTGTGTGTGCGTTCGCGCTCTGTCATAAATTCTTCATAAGGCCAGGACAGTTCAGAGGCGAGGCACAGGACATCAATTCCAGTTAATTCCCAATTTGTGTCAGAGCAGCAGATGCCGACGCCAGCACTGATCGGCCCGTTAATATGCTACTCAGACGCCATGTTGGAAGGAGGAGGGAGGAGGGGAAGGAAGGAGGGAGAAGACAGAGAGAGAGAGAGAGAGAGAGAGAGAGAGAGAGAGAGAGAGACGACCTGAGATGTATGGTGAAAATTTTGACAAGAAAAGAAAAGAATCACCTTAAAAATACAGATTGGAAAGCGAGGGACGAAGGAGACGCATCAGAAAGAGAGAGGAAAGAGAAAAGAGTGATTTCTACAGAACTGAGGTGTCCGCAAACATGTGGCCGCACACATTAAGAAACAATGACGTGTGTAATTGAGACAAAATGAGATCATCGTTTGTTGGACCCACGATGGGGACGTTTGCAAGAGAGAGATTAGAAAGTGATTGCTACCCAGAATCCCTCTGTTCTCTGGCGACTGAAACAGCGTCGAGAGTCCGACTGTCTCTTTGTGAGAGACAGAAGTTTAATCACAGTGTGTTTACTGTGGTGGAAACACTGACGCTCATCTGCTGCTGCTGTTTAATCTCTGAACTAGAATCTGTTTCATGGGGGTGTATGTTAATGCACACACACACACACACACACACACACACACACACACACACACACACACACACACAGATGGCGTTCGCTCTGATATCTGAATGAGCTCGGAGCGTCGACGTGCCGCTCGGTCGACGAGTTTTGTTTCTTCGCAGGAACAAAGTCGCATCGTCGCATTCCAGCCTCCCGACGAGCCGCCGCCAGCTGTCACCGCCGCCGCACACCTGGAATTAATCACCACGCCCGGGCAAAGACGAACCGCTGCCGACGTGCCCATCAGCACGGCGAGCGACGCTTCCCGCGGCGTTTGAAGAGATCCAAACACACGAGCCGGCTCAGGTGCTCCGGCGCTCTGGCGGCGAAGGTTCATTCTCTCGCAAACAATGTTGGACGAGCGACAGCTGGAGCTCGTCTTGGACGGACATGAAAGGACATCACAGGAGGAGACGAGCGACTGAAGACATCAGGTTCTCTGATTAAAGAGTCAAAGAGCAGCAGCAGGGGGAGAACTACAACTCCCAAGATGCATTTCATCAGATCCGAGCTTAGTTTAGCTTAGCATTTCATTAGAGACTGTTTAAGTTGTATGGTGTCTGTCCCTCCATCCATCCCTCCATCCATCCCTCCATCCATCCATCCCTCCATCATCCACATTCCTCCACACAGTGAAAGGCCACAGTGGCAGCAGGGATTCTTAATTGAGGCAACACTAATTATCATCTTCGTGTTCTAGATTAGATCAGTGCTGATTAGTCTAAAATTAGACACACACACACACACACACACACACACACACACACAGACCCGTCTCCACACAAACATCTCTATCATCCTCCAGATACCATCTCTGTGTTTGTCTTGTCTCCACAGTTGCACTAAAACCTGACTCAGTGTGAGTGTGTGTCTGTGTGTGTCTGTGTGTGTCTGTGTGTTACCTCCAGCTGCCTCCACGTGTGCGTCAGGTTGTGTACTTTGCAGTGGAAGTTGCCGGGCAGCTCGACGCCGCTCCTCTTCAGAGACTCGGCTCGGCCCAGCAGGCTCGTCTTCCTGCTCTCCATCATCATCAGCTCGGCGTGGCTGCTCTGGAGACACAGGAGAGGACAGACGCTCGTCACACAGACGTAACCCGGACCACAGCGGCATGGTTAACGACTTCGGTGACAGAGAAACACACAAGGTTCTTCACACAACTTGAAGGAGACACGTTATTGTCAATGCGTCTTTTAGTTTCACAGGGGGTAAACAGCTAAAAGCAAGAGTTTGAGACAGAGGCTGAAGAGAGGAGCTGCAGCAATGAGGACAGTCTGAGGACAGAGATGTCTTCTGCACATGGAAACACCATCAACCTGAATATGAGCAGAATGTGTCTTTCTTTAATTAATTATCACGCCACGTGGTTGAAATAGGGAAAAGATTGAGAGATGAAGAGCAGAGCCTCAGAGTCTGTCCCCGTCCTGGGTGAGGACACGTGCTGCCTGGGAACAGGCGCGTTTCAAGGGGCCCCTCAGGCAGAAAGGGACCCGGGGGCCACCGAACTCAACCAAACCGAAAGAAACGATAGATATACTCCAAAGGTTTGGCGGAGAGGTAGAGACATGAGGCGCTGCAGTCTCCTGCAGTCGATCACGGAACGTTAAGCTGGATCAGCTGTTCTCGGGGGGGCCCCTCTCCGAGCTGGGGGGGCCCCTCTCTCAGCGTAACCCTGCCCAGGAAAATCATTCTCGCACCAGTGTCGTCTCCTAAACTTAATTGACGAAGGATGCTGGTGTTGTTGATGCATATTTTGCGGTGGTTGCACTTTTGATTCCTCTGACATTTGAATATGATTTCACACTTTATCTTTTCAGATTCTGTGACTTCGGCTCCTCGAGGAGAGAAGCTGCTGAGGATCTGATCGTCGGAGGAGTTTTTCCTCCAACTGCTCTGAAGCAGGAGCGGATCGCCTCTGTTGTCTCATCTCACGACGAAATGTTCGAGGGATTTCGAGTTTTTTCCGGCAGATTTTTTCACTCGCTGCTGCTCCGACCACATTAAAAAAAGGTAAAAACTGTCGCGCCCTCCGCTGCGCCACAGACTCGCAGGAATCAAACGCAGCGGCAGCACTCCACAGCTCCCTTCTGGTTGGTGCTGTTGTTCGAGCGCTGCGGTCGGAGGGCGACGCAGACGTGGAACAGTTTCTGAATCAGATTTTACTCAACTATGAGGATATAAATAAAATAAATCCATGTTTGAGGAACATGAAGAGTGAAATTTCAAACTTTATTCAGTTTTGTGTTTTCACTGTTTCCAACCTTTCAACCAGTTTCATTAATTTTCGGAGGATCATTTTGACCCTTTGACCTTGAACCAACAGAAACGAATCCTTCATCGTCTCTTCAACTTCTCTTTTCTCACCCTTCATCCCTGTTTGGTTTTTTTTCAACTCTTTCTTTGTGAATCTCTCCATCTTTCTTATTCTCCTTTTGTCCCATTCATTCACAACACTCCTCCATTTTTCTAAATTATGGCTCAGCACTTCTCCATCTTTATTTTCTTTACTGTAACACCCCTCAGCCCTCCCCTTGGATTTGCTTAATACATCCATCTTTTTCTCCATCACTTTCCATCTATCTCCCTCCTTTCTTCCGTCTTTTCATTTGTTAGCGTAACTCTCCTTCAATGCCTCCATCTTTTTTTTTTTTTGCCTAATTTCCCTCCTCCTCTTTTCTCTTTCTCCTCTTTTCATTTTCTGCATCGATAGCTACTTGATTCTACTTTTCCCTTGTCGTTTATCATTACCGCCCGGCCCCATTTGAATATTCAAATGTCTCTTCTCTGACTCTGTGTGTGTGTGTGAGGACATATGCATGGCTCTGTGTGTGTGTGTGCGTGTGTGTGTGTTTTTGCTGTGCTGTCATCAGAGAGGCGGCGGCCATTTTTCAATGTCGCAGATTCTGATGGAGATGCTATCGTTCGGCGCTTCACAGCCATCCATCCCCTTCACTTAGCTAATAGCCACGCCGCGAGAACGAGGGATCGACAGCAGGAAAAAAAGAGACGAGTGGAAGGTAAATATGTCGGCGTCGCACTCGTCTAACAGTCAGGAAATTATACGATTTATTCGCTGATGGCAAATATTGATTTAAAAGGGGGGAAAGGGAGCCGGCGGGGGAGGAGGAGGGGGTGGTTTTGTTGTTGTTGTTGTTTGTTTGAAGGATGCCACTGATCCAAAGTCAAAGAAGAGAGGGGGAGAGGGGGAGAGGGGGAGAACAGAAGATAGACATGCCGATTAAAATGCATGAGATCCTAACTTTGAGATAAGTGCTGAGAGAGGGATCTTGGAGAGATGGGGGGTGGGTGGGGGAGACTGAGGGGTGTAAGAGAGACTGAGAGCAGGGGTGGGGGGGTGGGGGGGGTGCATGGATGGCTAGTTGTGATGTATTCATGCCTTAAGTCAATCTCCATGCAAGGATGGACTGAGATACACAGGCCTGAGGAGAGAGAGAGGGGGAGAGAGGGATGAGGAAAGAGACGAAGAGATAGAAACAGGAAAACTTGGAAAACGCCACGTCCGCGCTCACACACTCAAACGGTGACCGGAGGCCGAGCGCTGTGACACGAACCTCGACAAACACGCCGGCTCCTCCCACCACAACTGACGCCACCGCAGTGAGACGGTCCAACTTCATAAAGATACGATGACGGAAAGAGACGACGAGGAGGGGGGGGGGGGGGGGGGGGGGGAGGGGGGACAGCGTGGGTTTGATTTCGTTTGTGAGGCTGAAACACAGAAAGTCACAGTTTCCTGCTCCTGTGTTGAAGGAGCTCAAAGAAAAGTGGAGGAGGAGCTGATTCTCAAGGTCAATCTGATGAAGAGTCGACATCCTGAGAGACACAACGACACAAAGAGTTTGTCGGGGACATGAACGTCCTCGTCCTCATAAATCTGTGAACTTAACCTTCTTGTAAATTCAGGTTTTATATTCTTAAGAACATTTTTGGTTTTTTAGTCAATAACTGTTTTCAAGTCACAAAATTAAACGTGATTCAGTGAAACAGTGAGAAACGTGAAATGCATGATGGGAAATGACTGTTTGCTAACGCTCTTCACCAGTAAAAGAGTTTTTAAAGTAACGTTTCAGACGACGGGAGCGATACTGAAGCAGAGATTCAGACGATGTTCATATATTTTTATACAAAAAAATTAATATTTAAACTGAATTGATGCAGCGAAGTGTTTATTTCTGAATAATAAGAAATTTCTTCCATGTCAACGTGTCAGACGCAGATAAATGTACTTTTGCACAGTATGTGAAATCACAAGGGAGGCGAGAGGACACAGGAAAACGGCAGCGCTTTCCAAAAACACAGAGAGAAACGAGGAATAAACGCTTGACAAAACAGATGAGGGGGAGAGAGGGGGAGGAGAGGAGGAGGAGGAGAAAATCAACAAGCAATCATAAGTTTAATTTGGTCTCCATATTAATGAGCATAGAGCTGAAATGTCAGCAAAAATGCAGTCATACATGAAAAACATTTAATGCATTTTGAACATTCGGTTTTTTCTCTTCTCTCAGATTCATCTTATCCTCCAAATGAGAGAAGTTTGTCGGAGGCTGCGTAACGGAACGATTTTGTCATCGCGGCAACTAAAGTTGGGGGGGAAGTGATAAGGACACATCCTCCTCCTCCTCCTCCTCCTCATCATCATCCTCAAACAACAGTTTCTTCCTCCTCGTCTTTCTCTATCTGCTTCTCTTCTTCTTCTCTTCCTCTCTACACAGATTTAGTTCTTTTTTATCGACAGACTTGTTGATTTATTTTCACATTCATAGTGAAGTACTTTATATACCTGACTTTACTTTTAGACAGTGTACTGTATATCTATAGTACTTACACACGCTGAAACGTGTAGTTAATATATCTGGAAATCAGAAAATGTGTTATTGTCTATCCACAAATTTAAAGCTTCAGTTTGTAGGATTTAGTGACACCTAGAGATGAGGTTTGAGATTGCAGCCGGCGGCCTGAAGAAGAATTAACTGCAGTTTGTAAAGAAAGTCCTGATGATGTGACGTCAGGCTCCTCAGCTACTGTACTACGGATACTACAACCAGCAGATTGTACACATCAAGTACTACCGCAACTCTAGGAACAATAATGCAGCACAATAATAATTCTTCTTCTCTTATTTTAACGACTGTAGATCCATTTCACTGATTTCCTCCTGAACGTGTGAGTGTGAGAGACCGACAAAGAGAGAAGCTGTGTGTGTGTGTGTGTGTGTGTGTGTGTGTTGTGTGAGTGTGTGTGCGAGTGTGCGTCAGTGTCTCCGGCTGAGATGGATGTTCCACGGGCTCTGAAAGAGCAGGAAGTGGCTCAGTGACACCCCATTTATCCATTTATACTGCCAGACACTTCAACCTGTGTGTGTGTGTGTGTGTGTGTGTGTGTGTGTGCAGTGGTACAGCCACACAATCACCTTCACTGTCCACACTCTGCTTTACACTAACTGTGATGATCAGTGGAATATATTTAGCTTCATAAGGATACAGTAGGTTTATCGTTCTATTTTGATATTTGTATTAGATTATAAACACATTATATGATATTTACATATATTATCTTTTCAAATTAAAGCTGTTTAATATTGGGGGTAGTTCCACAGACACACAAAGAGAAACAGAACACAACAGAATGTAAAGAGTTTATATTCCTCCTCTCGATCTAAGATGTTGAGGGTTTAAACTTCTTGTGGCGCTCAGAGTTTCTGGAAGTTTCTCTTTTCCCTCAGTTCGGACAAAAAGAATCAAAAAAAGAAGCATAAAGACTTTTTCTCTCTTTCCAAACGAGGCAGCGACAAAAGGCTCGGCAACACGTTTTAATTGTCGTCGTGGAAACCAGATGAATGAGCTGTTTTGACTGGCCAGTAGAGACGGCTCGCCATTCAGCCAGTCACGTGCACGAGTGTGTGAGTGTGTGTGTGTGTGTGTGTGTGTGTGTGTGTGTGTGTGTGTGTGTGTGTGCACAGCTGGGAGGTCATTAGTACAAAGGGGGTGAAATTTCTATCAGTTTGTTAAAGAGACACAAAAAAAGAAATAGA